GCACGCGCTGATCGTGGGCGTCAAGAAGGGGGGCACCCGCGCGGTGCTGGAGTTCATCCGCGGTCACCCGGCGGTGCGCGCCCTGGGCACCGAGTCGCACTTCTTCGACAGACACTACGACCGGGGCCTGGAGTGGTACAGGTGAGCCGCCTGCCGAGGAGGGTGGCGGGCGAGCGATCGGGCGCGGGTCTGACACGAGGTCTAGCAGCCCTCCGACGGTAACTCGGCGTCTCTGGCTTCCGCAGACACGCTCACTTCCAGACACGCGAAAGTGAGCTTTCGGAGCATGTGCAGAGTGCCCTCCTCAGCCCACCACTGCAGGGGGGGGCGCGCGTCCGCCTCTGCCAGGGATTTAGGGCGGGCGGGCGCCCAGGATGCCTCTTCGGGCGGCTTGCGTCCAGGTGCACTGGCTTGCCGGTCAGTGCCGGCTTTGCTCCGGGAAGTCCGCGGTCCTGTCCCCGTCTCCGGAGTTCTCCCGGGGGATGCCTCTGGGAGGAGAGCCTGCCTGAGGCAGGAGGAGCGGCGCCGCCTTTCCGAACCGTTGCACCGAGACGCCTCTTTTGTCTCTCGAAGCTGGGGCGGCACAAAGTTCCGGCAGCCTCCTTTCGCTGGGTCAAAACACAGGCTGCGGGCGCTTGCTTGTGCCCAGGGAGTGCCAGGACCTGGGCCACAGGGCACGGGGGCAGCCGCCTCCCTGGGTCTCCCGTGTGCTGTGCCAGGGGCGGAGGGAGGAACCCCTTAGATGCCCCTAGAAAGGGAAGGGCGGGTGGGTGTGTTCGTGGGCCTTCTCCCTGGTGAACCGCAGGGAAGAAGCGAGCCGCTATGCAACCCGACAGAAGATCTAGGACAGGCGAGCCCGCCCGGCCCGCCTCTTCTACCTGCCTCTCCTCCCGGCCCCTCCGCACATGCAAACTTCCCTTCCCACTCGCGGTCTCCAGAGTTGCCTAGGAAACTACATTCCTCCATGTGGGGAACGGAGAGGGCAAAGCCTACCATCCCCGAGGAAGGCTGGGGATCTCATAAGGTGCCTCCCTTTAACTCAGGGACCGTCTTGCTCAAGAGCGGCTCGAACCTCCGGGCTTCTCTCTCTCTCTCTCTCTCTCTCTCAATCTCTCTCTCTCTCTCTGTCTGGCACCCGCTGGGCCTGAAGGGCTGGCAGAACTCAGCAGCAATCTGGGGCAGAGGCGGGGGCGGCCAGCGGGGTGGTCGGGTGGGGTGGACGTTGGCCTTGCCATCCCTTGTAGATGAACAGGCGCCCCAGGAGCCTCGCAGCCCCTAAAAGACAAAGACCGCCCGCGGGGCCGTTTCCCTGGTCCGGAGCTCCCACAAGACCTTGAGTGGCTTTGGCAGAAGGGAGAAAACAGGGAGAGCGGCAACCGCTCAGAAGTGCTTGGGTGGGTGTCCTTTCCCCTGAGTTGCATTCCTCCGAGGGAGATGAGGGGGGGAGACACGAGCTGTGCCCCCTTCCAACGCAGTGGGGCGCGAATGAGCCCTTCTGCCAGAGGGCCAAGCCTCCCCCTGGAACTCCACGTCCACCTTTGAACTGGCTACCGCTGAGGCTGGGGTCCCTCTCTCAGCCCATCTGCTCACGCTGAGCCCCCTCCCTCTTTCCAGGGGTGCCCGTTCAGGACCAGACGCTGAGTGCCAGCCCCAGAGCTTGCCTTGTGCTCTACATTCACCGGGCATCATCCCTGGGAGGGAGCTGACACTTCTGCCTTCCTCTGCACCCGATGGATGCATGGTTAATATTTGCAAGGAACTGGGAAAATGATAACCAAATTAATTTAGAGGAATGGTATAGAGAATTATGGGATATGGCAATTAATGATAAACTGACATGTGATATGAAAATAAGAAGAGGTCTATCAAAAAATAATGATTTTAAGAAAACATGGAATGTATTTCTGGAACATGTATTTTGGAGAGGGAAGGGGTATACACCGAGGGAAGACCCAATGAATTTTTGGAGAGAAAATGGATTGAATGGAATTTTAAAATATTATTAATACTAGCCCTGAGGGGGAAAGTGGCACTGGTGTATTATATGAAAATAAGAAGAGGTCTATCAAAAAATAATGATTTTAAGAAAACATGGAATGTATTTCTGGAACATGTATTTTGGAGAGGGAAGGGGTATACACCGAGGGAAGACCCAATGAATTTTTGGAGAGAAAATGGATTGAATGGAATTTTAAAATATTATTAATACTAGCCCTGAGGGGGAAAGTGGCACTGGTGTATTATATAACTGTATTTTATTGTGGTGTTAGGTTTATGTTGCCTGTGATTGATGTTCATTCAATAATAATAATAATAATAATAATAATAATAATAATAATAATAATAATAATAATAATAATAATAATAATAATAATAATAATAATAATAATAATAATAATAATAAAGATGGATGCGTCTTTTCTCCAGAGCATCCCTGAAGGAAGGGCTTTATGTGTCAACACCTCCTGCCCTGCCTTGCTCTTTATCTTGCAGATGTGTGCGTGTGCATGCCTGTGTGCATGTGCATGCCTGTGTGTGCATGCATGCGTGTGTGCATGTGAGGGAAACTGCAAGGCAGACAGGCAAGCCCTGCACTGAGGGACCTGCCCAACCCACTCGTCCCTCCTTTCCGTTCCAGGCTCCTTGTGAGCTCCAGCTGTCCCCTCCCTCTAATCCATGCTGTGATCCCTCCCAGGCAGGCAGAGAAAGTGGACAAGTGACCCCCCCCTGGTCAAGGCATGCAGGGTTGGTTGTTTTGTTTTGTTTGTTTTTGGAATTTCCCACCTGTAGCAGAAGCCCAAAGAGCGTCACCTCTGGGCAGAAGGCCGTGGTCCCAAGAGGCCCCTCAAGAGAGGCGGCGCAGGTGAATACATAAGTGCCCAGACCTTCTTCCCTAGCAAGACAATTCTGTATGGTTTTTTTGTTGTTGTTGTTATTGGTTTGTTTGGTTTTTTATGTTCAAGGGGAAACCTCAAGTGCTGTCCTGTGCCGAGACTGGTGGATGGTCCATGAACTTTCCCTGGTCTCATCTCCTGTGCAGGCATTAAACAGACAGTCCCGTTGCTTCCCCACCCCCAGTTCCAACATCTGATCACCTTTTTTACCTGGGGCCCATCCTGCAGCACAGAATGCCAGTCTCTCTCTCTCTCTCTCTCTCTCTCTCTCTCTCTCTCTCTCTTTGTACAAACACTGGTCCACTGTTGTCCCTTGTGTGGCCCCTCTCTGCTTGAGAGCAACTGGACCTGTAAGTCCATTGGGTCTGCTTCCCTTGGATTGTTCCTGTCCTAGAATATCATGTGTGTGTGTGTGTGTGTGTGTAATCAGGTTCACAAGGTTTTCAGTCCATACTAGAAGCTCAGAAGGCTCACTCAGTTCTCTTTCAAAAGGAGGGGGAAATTAATAGTCATCCATCCCTAGAAACCTAACTCTGGTTGAGTTGTCACCATTCTTGGATTGCTAAGCAACATTATTCTAAAGTGGCAAGTTTTTGCCTTTCCTAGGAGTCTCCGTCAGGCCAAGGAGGGGTAAAATTGGGGGGTGGCAATGAAAGGGTCCCCCAAAGGGCTCAGGGGTGGCTCTTGCAAATGGCCTGCCAGGAAGGCAGATCGGAGCTTGCTGATGCCACTAGGAAGGGGGGGGGAAGTCAAATGATGCAATTGCCACTTACTTCCCCACTCCCACCCCCCCCAGCTCAGCAAGGGCTGCACCTGTTGCTTCTGGGATGTCTCTTTGGCTTTTAGTTTGGCTTAGCCAGCAGGCAGGCCGGCAGGCAGGCAGGCAGGCAAACAGCCGCTCTCTCGGCTCATGGAGCTGTTTGCAGGGTGGCAGGTGCATGCCAGGTTTCTGACAACCACGGTGTGGAAGGCATGCCGAACCAGCAGGGGGAGGAGGTCACCTCTGTTTGCTGGGGGAGGGGGCTTCTGGGGGAATTGGCACCGGCCTTGGCCTAGCCTGCCTTCCACCCACCCCCAGGGCCATCAGAATGAGGGGGTGGTCCTGCCACTATCCTCCCGGCATGTGGGTCAAGAAAAATCCACCCCCACTCTTATTTTAAGTGTGGCTCACACCCCCTCTGGCACTGAGTGAGGAGAAATGGCCTCTCGGCTGCTGGTCACATGGGAACCAGGCCACGCTGGACACTTCGTTTTCCTGTCGGGGAGTGGCTAAAGCCCAGGATTATCAAGAAGTGGGCTGGCACGCTGCGGGGGGGGGATGGGCACTTGGCTGCCAGATTTCCCTCCCCAGCCACCAGGGACCAGGATAAGCAAGTATCAGTGTTGTTGCTGTTGTTGTTTGTTGTTTGTTGTTTGTTTGTTTGTTGTTGTTGTTGGGTCTGGGCACAGCAGGAGAGCCAGCAAATGAGCGGGGGGGGGAAGGGGGAGGGCAGAGTCAGCCTGGCACTGGTAGAGGTGGGTGTGCTGGGTTGCCTGAGGCAACAAGCAGAGCAGCTGCTGAGGGCTGTCCAAAAATGAATCTGGGGAGAAGGAACTTCATCCCCCTCCCCGGGAATGGTGTGTGTGTGTGTGTGTTTGGGCGCATAAGCTTGCGCAGAGACAAGTCAGCAGTAACCAGCAGGGCAGGATGGAAGGTGCCAACCCTCCCCCTCCACTTCCCTTCCTCTAAGCCTGAAACGGCATTTCTTGACTTCTTCTGAACCCAGAGAATCGCAGGCTGCTGGTTCCGCAAAGCCATTCCCTCCAGACAACAACAGGGGCCAAGGGAGTCTTGGATGGTCTGTACTCCCGGCTGCCTTTGGCTTCATTGCCGGAGAGCGTGTCCTGCCCACCCCTCCCCATCCACCGTAGGCTAATTGCCAGTTCACTCGACAGCTGTCACTGGGATAATTGACCTGCCGCTTGAGCGACGCTTTCCGCACAGCCCTGCCAGGTGTCCGTGACACAGCCATGGCATTCCAAATTGCCTTCGGGTCTCGGGGAACCCTCCCCAAGTCCCCCCCCTCTTCAGTTCGCTTGCCACGGCTCTGAGGGACATCAACTGCAGGCCTTTCCTTCTTCTGGGAAACAAGATCAGCTGCCAGAGACAAATCATGGGCCAGCCTTGCTCCCAGGGGTGGGGTGGGGCAGCCGATGCCCCAACAAAGTGGTTGGGACACGCCATGCCTCATTCCTGGAGCTGGCACAGCCGACTCTTTCCTTTTCCCTGGCTGGATGGGCTCCTCCTTTGCCACTGGATTACAAAAGGGAGCCCAGAGCGTGTCTGCATGAGGCTCTCCTGGCAGGGGCGTTTTCACAACCTCAGCAACAGCACAGGATTTTTTTTAATTACAAGGATGGGGGGGACTTTTTCCCCAGGGGCCCAAGTCTCCATTCTGAAATGCTTAAAATGGGCTCCAGGGCAGACTGGAAGCTCTCCCCCACCCCACCTCACCCAAGGAAAGCAAGGCCTGCCTACAAACCTGGCTGAGGGCCTGTGACTTGATGGTCCCAAAGGCAAACGGACTCCCATCCCTCGGCCACCCCTGCATCGGCCTCTGTGGGGCTTCTCCTCACTCAAGGGAGGCGGTTGTGGCCCACACGGCGAGTGTTGGGGGGGCCAGGACCCTCTCCTGTTTGCCCACTTGAGCTGCTGGTGCCTGATTCTTCCTACATCATTCACTCTTTTTGGTCACCTCTGCAGCCTTTGCTGCCTCAGAGCCATGAACGCCACCCTGCAACTTTCGCGAGCTCTTGGTAACAGTCACGTAATTTATTAACACAATTATTGCATGCCGTTCATAATTTATTAGGACCTGTGATTTTGCATTGTTTAAATAGATGGGCCTAATCCCTCAAAGGACTGTGCTTTAACAAGCCCAGGGGTGGCCCATTAAAGAGACGGCAGTTTTATGAATCTCCACTATCAGTGAACCACTTACAAAGCTGTCCTGGCGCTGATGGATGACCCGGACCTGCCTTGCAGTCTAAAGCGGGCGGTGGCAGGCAGGGTTCCCTGGCCATGAATTAGCATCTTGCTGACAGTCGTGGAACAATAAGACCTCATAATCTGGATTTATGAACCATGGAGCAAGGCAAGAGAAGGAGCCAGTTAAACCACGAGCTGTGCAGGTACCTCCTGGGGTAGGAGAAGCAGGGCCTCTAAGGCACACCTGGTAAACACCAGTTAAGCTCCTTCCTGTTGGCCCAGGAGGGTGTGATCCTTCCTCCTCTAGGCTGGGGTGGGGTGAGGTGGGACTTACTTTTCACCCACCTGTTGCAGCCAGTGGGGAAGGAGAAGCACCCACCCTTTGGTGAAGCAGCAATGCCAGTGGGACTCTCTGAGCAGAACCCCAAAAGGGTCTCCCTGGCAGGTTGGACATGCCTTTGTGGTGGAAAGCATCACCTCTGATGGTCAACCCCTGCACTAGGAGGTCCTGGCTGGCCGGCCAACAGACTTGCCCATCAGGCAAGCAAAAGCCAGAGGCTACTTCTGGAGGTGTAGTTTTAAAATGAAACAGTTTGACCCTTAAGCACGATTACTATTCCATCCAAATAGTAATCGTAGTAGTATGCCAGCACCCGAGGGGCAGTCCAACTGCAGGCGACACTCACAAAGCTGGAATTAAAATGTACCGTAGGTTTTCAACAGCTTAAAAGTTGGCAGGGGCCCAATCAGGGAGCCAGCTTTTGGTTTGGGTTAACATTTCTGCCCCAGGGAATGTTGGCCTTGCTTTTGTTGTAAGGGATGTGGAGGAGGAGGAGGAGGAGGAAGATCCTGAGGCCAGGAACATCTTGGTCTCTCACGCGGAGCGGAGGCAGGTGCCCCTGGTCCGAGACTCCCAAGCAGGAGGGAGGTTTCAGGACCTTGGAGAGCGAGCGGCCAGCCGCCCTCTTGCCTCCTTGCTAGAGGGCTTTGCTACAGGCGGGTGAGGACGGGTTGCCTGCCTGACACCCAGCCTCCTCAAGCCACATCGTCGGTCCAGGGCCAGAGAGACCTGGCAGGTCTTGGGGCTGTTTCCACATCTTTAGAGCGACAGCATAAAAAAAAGGCAAACTAACTCTTAATGGAAGAGACATTGTGGCTAAATGGCCCGGAAATGTTTGCAGGTGGATCTCCCTGGATATTCCTGTTGAGTGTTGTTTTACTTAATTTGTTTAGCTTTATATTATGAATGAAGCTGTTATATATGCGTAGAGTGAATGGTTCCAAAGAGCTTGAGGAACTTGACTAAAGTTATTAATGAACTGATCAGAGTTTGAATCTGATTAACAAATTCATCAAGGGTTTGACTATTCACAGTGATTTGCTTATTTATTCATACTTATGATTGTATTGTAGTAATTAACTTAATACTTCTTTCATTTGGAATGTTTTTTTTTTAAAAAAAACTGATGTGTTTATTCATGATGCATTTATGCATGAACTGAATATTGATGATGGAGGATTTGACTGTTAATTACTAATGCTAAGCAGTATGCAGGTTTAACGTGTTCTCCTGCTCCCTGTGTGGGCTCTTTCCCGAGCGTACAATTGTGAAAATAAAAAGTTATACAATCCTAGATATTGGATTTAAGATTGAAGGGGATATAAAAGGTGCAGTGGATTTGAAGATTAAATAGCTGCCCCTCCCACAAAAAAACATAACACACAATCTTTTATAGCACCAAATAGACTCTTAAACAGAGAGGAAAATACCAAAATGTAAGACAACAAGCACAGAAGGAAAATGGGGCTGATGAAAATGGGGGGGGGGGAATTGCAGCCTTGACAGGAGTATTGGAGGGAGTTTAGGGGCAGCATTAGGGTTAAACTATACCGATGCCAGATCAGCAACTTGAAAGAAGGTTAATTGCTCCTACCTTAAGGATTCCACTCAAGCTGCATATTTATGCCTCCTTTCCTTTGGTGATTGGTGACAGGACAGAGAAATTCCTTTGCAAGTTGATTGTCTAGCTTTGAAGGTATAGGACTCTTTCCCTGCAGCAACGATGTTCTGTCACTTTGTAATTGTGAAGCTGGTGCCTCGGGTCATTTGGCTCTGTGAGAAAATGGGAATTATGGGCTGCAAATAACTCCAGCGACTGTTCTCTGGGGAGGTTTTTGGCCCCGGGTCCCCTAAAGATTTTTTTTTTTTTTTTTTTTGTAACGGTGAGCTGTGTATTATTTGCCACAATAATTTTGTTCCAAAAAGCTCAACCACCTACTCACACAATGTTCTGTCACTTTGTAATTGTGAAGCTGGTGCCTCGGGTCATTTGGCTCTGTGAGAAAATGGGAATTATGGGCTGCAAATAACTCCAGTGACTGTACTCTGGGGAGGTATTTGGCACCGGGTCCCCTAAAGATTCTCTTTTTTTGTAAAGGTCAGCTATGTATTATTTGCCACCATAATTTTGTTCCAAAAAGCTCAGCCACCTACTCACATGCCATCTATGATGCAGTGAAAAAGGAAAGCACGGACTACTGTGCTGATGGTAAGACAGCAAGAGTAGAATTGCAAGTGGCTGGAAGGGCAGATTGTTCTAAAAAACTGGATTCCATTTATGGGGTGCAGTTTGTCCTGGAACTGGCATAAGGCTGGAGAATTAGCAGTTTCAGATATCTAGCATATAGTTTAAAGCCTCAGCACAGGATCATGGGTGGTGGCGGGGGAGGGAGACAACTAAATGGCCCAGCATTTCAAATTAATTTTGTAATGGCCCAAATTTGATTAGCTACCGTCTCTGGTATAATGTGATCATCATAAATGGCCATAGCAAATTGCCCCAAGTTGTGAAGTTCGTATAAGCATTTCTGTTGTACCTTGAATTGTGCTGCCGACATTTGCTCCGACTGCATGATGACAGCATAAAAAACACATGGGTCTAAATCCTGTCTCTTGCTGCTTGTGTATGTGAGTGGGCATTTTAAAGGCATTGGTTTTACTGCTCAACGTGTTACAAATGGCAATGTCAGGATACGCAAAGGGGAAGCTGTGGGCTGGGCAAGTGGGAGATGCCTGAGCCCTCCCCACCCCCACCCCAAGCCCTTTGCTGAAGCCCTTGAGGGTCAGGTCAGGAATGACGGTCAGAAGCCAGGGAGCCGCTCATATCACAGCCGCACCCTCCCCACCAAGGGACCTGCGTGAGCAGCCTGGACTGCCAGCTCCAAGGGCCGACAGGAAGGCCAAGGGGGCTGATCCGGAGGTGACAAAAGCAAAAGCAGGGAGCTTTCTGGCACTGGCCGGTGGACTCCTTGTAACATCTTGCTTGGCCTTCAGTCCCGGAGTAGGAGGGGGCCGAGGGGAAGAGCCAGTTCACAGGCCAGGGGCTGCCCTGCAGCCTCTTCCCTGCCCTGCTGTTAACCCGCTGCTTGTCTTTGCTTGCAGGCGCCTGATGCCGCGGACGCTAGAGAGCCAGATCACCATGGAGAAGACCCCCAGCTACTTTGTCACCCGGGAGGCCCCCCGGCGGATCTTCAGCATGTCCCGGGAGACCAAGCTCATTGTGGTGGTGAGGAACCCGGTCACGCGGGCCATCTCGGACTACACCCAGACGCTCCTGAAGAAGCCCGACATCCCCACCTTTGAGGAGCTCTCCTTCCTCAACCGCAGTCTGGGCTTGGTGGACACCTCCTGGAGCGCCATCCGGATCGGCATGTACGCGCTGCACCTGGAGAGCTGGCTCCAGTACTTCCCCCTCTCCCAGATCCACTTTGTCAGCGGGGAGCGGCTGATCACGGACCCTGCCGGGGAGATGGGCAAGATCCAGGACTTCCTGGGCGTCCAGCGGGTGATCTCCGAGAAGCACTTCTACTTCAACAAGACCAAAGGCTTCCCCTGCCTGAAGAGGACAGAGGCAGGCAGCCGGCCCCGCTGCCTGGGGAAGTCCAAGGGGAGGACCCACGTCCAGATCGACCCGGACATGATCGAGCAGCTGCAAGACTTCTATCGCCCCCACAACGTCCGGTTCTACGAAACCGTGGGGCAGGACTTCCGGTGGGACTGAGGGGCTCCTGTGAGGGCCCAGGGCGTGGCCCAGAAGGCCGGCCCGGCAGAACTTGCTTGTCTGATCATCCCCCCCTTGTTTGGGGGGCAGGAAGGGACCTCCTAGGAGGCTCCCGTGGCCTTCCTTTGGTCCCCCTTGGGTGGCTGGGGAGGAAGATCACCCCACAAGACCACAGGGTGCAGGGGCCACCCAGGCACCATGCCGCCCACTCCCCGTTCCCCTGCCTCGGCGTGATGAGTGGGCAGCTTGGCGTGCCTCTTCTCAGTGGTGCAATCAGGGTAGGTGATGCCCAAGGATGGATTTTATTTTTTAATAAGGATGACATAGCATTCTATATATATATAAATAAATATATATATAAATATAGCCTATCAATTTCACTGCCTAGTCACCAAGTGTCCCCTGGTTCACCCAGCCCCACCCGGGCCCCAGCTAGAGGGCCCTCTGAGCAAAGGGGTCTCCCTCCTGCCACCTCCTGTCATTGCAGTGGGAGGAGTCGTCCCTTCCCTCCCCCCACCCCGCTCAGAGGTGCCCGCCTGGCATCCAAGGGCTGGGCCCTGGGCTTCCTGTTCTTGCTCCAACCTTCAGGGTGAGGCCAGGGAGCCCCCTGAGGTGGCGAGTCTGCTTCTAATAAGGCTTCCAAAGGGACCCCTTTCGGTCCTGGGAATAAAGCACAGATTTCTGCATTTACGGGTACTTTGGCACACATGTATGTGTTCTGTTCTTGTCCAGGAGTGAGGCACTGGCCTCACCCCACCCTTGTATCCCCCACCCCACCCCTACCCTGAAATAAAGAGAAATCCCCCCCACCCGTCTGATGGTGGAGACATTTTTCTCAGGGTCAATGGGGAGAGGGGACCTGTAACGGGGCCCTCGGTTTTCTCCATGAGCTTCCCCTCAGAGGGACGGAGTCCGGCTTTTTCTTCTACGTCGTCCGGCTGCTTTTTGGTTAAGGGAGACCCTCGTAGAGTTCCGGAGGTGTGCGAGATACACAAGGAGTGGGTTTCCGTAGCTGACCAGGATTTGAACTTGGGTATCTCCAGTCCTAGTCGAAAGTCTGCCCACAACATCATGCTGGCGCTCACGAGAAGAGGTCCACCCACCCCACCGACAGGAGTGATGGGTCCACTTATTCCTCCCTCCCACACGCGGATGGCAGGCAAAACCCCACCTCAGTGGGTGGAACGGCCCCCATGAAGGGGCTGCAAAATCTAGAAAGTCAGGGGCCAAACAGAGGGTTGAACAGGCACCTCCCAGGGTCTCCCTCCAAAGCCCACTTTGGCATTTCTGTGCATTGAAAAAGCTCTGCGGTTTATTCCTGTCCTCATTTCAGGAGCCCTTTGTCCTTTGCCATGTGCTGCCCCTTCCCCTTCCGGTCTTTGCTTCTCCCCCCTCAACGACCCTGTGAGGTCGATCCTCAAGGGTGCGCTGAGAGAACGGGACCCGTCCGGAGGGAGGGGAGCTGCAAGTGCGGGAGCCGTTGACTCATTAGGCCTGCCTGGCTTTTCTCCTTGGCAGGAGATGCTCTCCCAGCCCGCCTGGAGCAATAAATAGGCCTTCGGGCAGGGAAGACAGCTGTGCTTCTGTAAACATGTCACCGGAGCTTGTCGTGCCAGGGCCGAAGCAGGGCAGGCTGCTGCTCGGTGCGCAGCCAGTGGGGATTTATGGCCCTGCTTAATAGGCTGCTGTCTGGGAGCCCTTCCTCGTAAATGAATGTCAAGCCCTCTCTGAGTTGCCCTCAAAGAAGGCAGCTCTCGGCTCTTCTGCAGCCGCCCTTGCTTTCTCCCAAATGAGTGCTCAGATCTAAAGGGGCCTCCAGCCTTGCCCCTTGCCTGGCTGCTCCCAGGTGTGTGTGTGTGGGTGCGCCAAGGACTCCCATTGATTTGGGGAGGGGTTAGGAGGCGGCAGGGGTTCTGTTCGATCCCTGTTTCGAAGCCCGCCAGCTGGTGGGAGGAAGGGGGTCTGCTGTGGAACCTCCAGCATGGGCTCCCCTGGGGACAGCAGCTGCCACCACCTGATGCTCTTCCACCTGAGCTCCACCTAAGCCAAGATGTTCCTATACATGCTCATCCCAAGCACCAAGGCCCAGCTCTGAGGGTCTTTCCTTGCCTGCCAAGGGAATGCAAGGGCCAGTTGATCCCAGACCCAGTGCTTGGGATCCATGAAGCAAACAATGGGGTCATTAGTCTTCCCTGTGGCTTCCTCCATCCTCTCAGCCCTTCTGCATGGCCACCGCTGTCAAACCCTCTTCCGAAATGTCTGTGTGGGTGGGTGGGTGTGAGTGTTTCTGCTTGTTCTCCTGCTGCCTTTGCTGGGACATTCCCTGCTCCACCATGATATGTCCCGGCAGGAGGACCTGGCCCAGAGTGCAGCTATGGAGAGGCCCAGCTCTGCTGTGGAGCTGCCTCTGGCGATGCAAGGGCTCCAAGCACTCCTTCTGTGGATCCAACTCCCGAGGAAGGGAAGAGGAGAGCCGGTTCTCCTGGGGCTGGCTCTGCCCACTGGGGGGAGGGGGGGTCACCTTTCACCGACAAAGTGGACTTGAGCCCAGCTGTTTCCTTTGCTGAGTGCCAGGTGCCTGGAATCGCCTATTGATTTTTGCAATAAATCATAGCAGCTCCTGACAGGGCTTGCAATTTGCCACTAGCATTGAAATCACAGCTGAGCCGTGGCCACTTTCAGCTGCAGAAATGGGGCAAGAAAGCCCACAAAAGCTCCCCACAGTTCTAGGGCTGCTTGCTTGGAAATGGAGGCAGTTTGGGAAAGAGCTGGAGGCCCGGCTGTGAGCAAAGGAAAGGAGGGACTTCTTTTCTTTAAAAAACAAAAAGTGCTCAGCAGAAGGAAGAAAAACCAGAAGGGCTGAGAAAGGCTGCCCCTTGGAGCGGGTCACCCAACCCAGGCAGAAAGCAGGCAGAGGACAGTCGTTCCTCCCCTTTGGACCCAGTTTCTGCTGCAGGAATTGGGCCAGCAAAGTGGGAAAGCCGTTATGCAGAACTTCTAGCATCCACCCTTGCTGTCCAAAGGGCACGTTAGCTTACCAATTCTTGTAACCATTCCAAACGGTGGGGTGGATATTGTTGTGCCAGTGGTGAGGTTGGAGAAAACTAAGTTTTGCGTGAAATGCCTCGGAGCTGTTTTGATCCGGAAGTCAACGGGTCCAGGTGCCTTTTTATGGGCGGTGGTGGGAGGGAGCCTCTTCTCTAGCCCTCATTGAAAACAATTCGATGGCATCCTTCAGTCTCTAAAGACTATGGTATCGTGCTCTGTATCGAGGACAAGAGGCAAGGCAAAGCAGGCAGTCGCTGTTCTGCCCAAGGGAGACGGCTGCTGACTTCCAGGGCATTGAGCCGGAAGCCCCAGGTGATCTGACACCTTCGTAGCCTTTGGCTTGCCCGCCAAACATTGGGCAAAAGCTCAGCAGCTGTCTTGGGTCCGGTTGGGTCTGGTCCAGTCCGGTCAGGTGTGCTTCCTGCTTTGGGGCCCAGAGGCCCTGGCGGTCACACAACTCTTGGGGGTACAAAGACACAAACCACACAAATTGAAGAGTGAGGTCTCAGGGCCAGACGGGCCCTGGCACAAGCGAGCGTGGGGTCGGTTGGATCCGTGCCCTCGGGCCTGCGCTGTTCAAGGCACCGGGAGGGCCTCCTAGACTCAAAGGAAGAGCAATCCGGCCAAGCCAGCGGTCTGAGACTGGGGGTGTCCCTCTCAGATTTTGCTGAAGCATTAAATTATCCTGTTGGTGCCTATTGTTTTGTTCAGATTAGCTATTGATTTAAACATGGAACCTCAATTATTCTCCAAAACACTTGGGAATTCAGCCAGAGGGTCTATTGTTTAAAAAACAAAAAACAAAAACAAGTGCCTGCAGGAAAGGGACTGAGATGCCATGAACATATGGGAGGCCCAAGGCCACTTGGCCCCCAAGGAAGTAGGTGTGCGCGCCCCCCTCTGTGTGTGCACGGACGTGTGCAGGCACACAGTTAGGGAAGCCTTCCCAGTAGCTATGTCTCCATAACAAACTGGGAGATTGTGCCACTCACTGTATTTTAATGCATTTTTCATAAGCAGGCTTCACCTGCGGGCAACGCCAGGGGCCTCCAAGCAGCTCGCAATGAAATCCACAGAGGGACAGAGGCCAAATCCAGAGACCGACACAAACAACTCTGATCTAAAAATAACAGCATGGCAGTACCCAGGCGGGTTTAGATGGACACGGATGCTGGAGAACCAGGCTCGAATCCCCACTCAGCCATGGAAGCCCATTGGGGGACATACGGAACCGGTAAAACCACCCCTTAAATGCCTCGCTTGCCTTGAAAGCTCTGCCAGGGCTGCTAGAAATCAGTTCCAACTTGAGGGCACAGAACAACAATAAGCAAAAGTGCAGCAATCATGGGCGGGAACAAGAAGGTGGTCCAAGAGGAGGCAGCTGGCCCAGCTGCTGGGAAGAGTGGTCCGGAAAGGGGATGATTAGCTTTCCCCGGACAATGCTGGGGGAGGGTCTCGCTTTGAGCGGGGTGTGCTGGGATTACTTACAAAACAATGTGATGCTAGAAGGCTGAGGGATCAGGACCTTAACAGAGCAAAGGGGCTCTTTGAAGGCCCGTGTTCCATTAGAAGGGGAGGTATGACTCTGAACATGTGCAGAGTGCATTCCTCCCCACATCCAGGCCTCCTGTTTTGGGTATGGGGAGGGGTGTCCAGGTGCGGGCGGCTGGTCTTCGGTGGCTTCACATCCTTACTGGCAAGACCTCTAGCTAGCTGGCTGGGCAATGCAAGGGGCTCTATCTTGAAATAGCAGAAGCGCCAGGAAGAGGAGACGCCTTTCTCCACCGGCCACCCTCACAGTCAACCCCATGCATAGTCAACCTATCAGGCACATAATAAAATGAGCACTGTAGACATCCATACGCCAGAGTTCAATTTTGTGGCCCATGGAGCTATGCTGAGACCCTTTTGCATTCCTCAGAGAGCAGGAGAGATTCAACATTCAGAAGGCTTGGCGGGAGAGGCTCTCTCTCTCTCTCTCTCTCTCTGTGTGTGTGTGTGTGAGAGAGAGAGAGAGGGAGGGAGGGAGAGAGAGAGAGAGAGAGATGTTATGCAGAAAAGGTTAGTCAGGAATTGGGTGGATGAGGGAACAGAGAGAAGACTCAGTGCCCCTGAGGGTCCCCTCCCAGCTCGACAATGCTACGATTTTGCACACGTGTGCATGACAAGACACTCCCGGTTGAAGACACCAGCTCGTGACCCTCCACCTGGGGTTCTCTGTGCACACCTTCTCCAGCGCTGAGGCACTTCCTTCCACACTTGCTACACCAGCGGAGGCAAACAGAAGCATCTTGGGCTTGCAGAAAGGAAGACACCACAGGGCTCCTCAAAGATGGTGTCGGACATCCGAGACTCTTTGAACCATTTCCATATCCGGTCAACACCATCCACTGAGCCTGGAACAATAAAGCAGCTGGAGGGAGCCGGGCAGAAGCCGGCGGAACAAGGTGTTTTCCATGAGAAATGCTGTAGTTTTTATAGGGATGTGCAGGGTCACCCCTCCTGGACCAGAATGGCCCTCCTCGGATGCCCATTGGGATAATTCCTTCCTGGACCTGAAGGTACAGCCCCCATCCTGCCCCCCCTTCTGATGGGCTGCCCCTGGGGGGGGGGCTTCAGGAAAGAGGAAGCTGGGTTGAAGATGCTTTTACACAAAGCATTAAAAATAATTGATGCCCAAATCCTTGTTAGTGAGAAAATGTGAAAGCAGCTAATGATCTCTGC